CCCACATCCTCCTCCTCCAGGACATGGGTTCTGACCAGGCTCTTGGACTCCCTCTGAGGGAACAAAGTCCGGCAAAGAAAGCCATGTCCAGCCTCAGAGCCGCGGGTCCTCTGGCTCAGGCTCCAGCTACGTGTCCGTGCCACTGGCAGTCACGTGCAGTTCTGGAGCAGAGCACCTGTGTGGCTAGGTCTCCTCATGTGGCTGCCCCTGACCTCCTGCCCAGCAATGGTCTGTCTACTCCTGAGGGCCGGGGCGTATCTGGCCCCACAGCCCAGGGCACTCTTCAGCCTGACCTGACAGTGACTGGGACAGTAGAGTCACCCGTGAGTCTTGGGTGGTCTTAAGGTCAGGGTCCTTACCTCTCAGACGATCGAGTGGTTGGCTTCACAAACAAGAAACTCAAGCCCTTCAGCCTTAATAAATAACTCCTTAACCTGAAACAAATTACCATGCCATGAGCCAGGTAGCCCTCAAGTACCTAGAGAGGAGAAGACCATCCTAAATGTATCATCTCCTTTTACGCTTAGGGGCCTGCCCGTGTGGTCTCACGTAGGCAGATCCAGGTAGGTGCTGACATGCAGAAATTGCCTAGACGGTATCATGTGGCCAATTAATTAATGACTTTCAATCAAGAACAGAAATGAAGTTCCACGTTTGAGTTTGTTAGCGTATGTGTGTGTAAAAATGAGTATTACAGATTATTGGAATTAGTTTAGAATATTTGACGTTATCAAAAGTATTTGCTAAACATTTAGGGGTTCTTTGGTCTATGGTTGATTGTAAGTGGAGCAGTGCCCCAGCGGGTGACCAAATACCTGAGGAGATGCATGGCAGCTGTGGGTTGCTCCCAGGGTGTCGGGAAGAAGTCTCTGGGCCCTGGGCTGCCTCACCCGGGAAGCATCTCTCCTGGTGGGTTTGCGTTTAAAGGCGACTCCCTGTCTGTGGACTCCTCAACTCTTGAGGGCAGAGGCTGTTTGCTACCATTCATTTTTGTTTGTTTTCAGTTCAGCAAATATATTCTGTATCATCACAGAAAACACTTGTTTCTTTATGTCATAATTAGTTGGTCTTTTCAGGAAAAGTTTAACTGATATTAAAGTAAATGAATATTTTTTTTAAAAGAGAGAGATTTATTCCCTTAAGAGAAAGCCAGAAATGTTTCATTTCTGAGAATTTTTCTGTGCATACTTTTTGGAATATTGTGTGACTCAACCAGAGACCAGAAACCAGGTGGACAGGAGGTTGAATGGATGGCCAGGCAGTGCGCCAGGTGGCAGTGGTGCCACCCTGCATCAGGTGCAGAGGTGGAGATGGTCAGCTTATTGTTTCTGAGCAAAACACAGCTGCTGGGCATGCTCATTTCCCAGGGGATGCCAGAAAGTACCCGTGTTTCGATGGAGCCTCCCAGCTTGAGTCTACTTAGGAGGGAAAGAAATTATTGCTAACTAAGTTGAATGCTCAACCCAGACTCCAAGACACAAGTATACACATCTGGCTTTAAAAATTTGGACTTTTACCATGTGATTGGTGCAGGTCTATAACCCCGCCAACTTGGAAGGCTAAGGCAGGAGGATCACAAGTTTGAAGCCAGCCCCAGGAACTTAGCAAGGGCTTGGGCTGTAGCTCAGTGGTAAAGCACACCTGGGTTCAATCGCAGTATCAAAAATAAATAACACTTTAAAAAGAATTACACATTTATAACTGTGTGTCCGTATGTACACGGATTAGGCTGAAATCCAGTCCTGGTGCTTCTGTTGAGACCCACAGTTGGGACTGGGGGGTGGATGGGGAAGGGGCCCTTGGCAGGCTGATGGTTCTAGCGCACCTGCTGTGAGGGAGCAGCCCAGCTGATTCAGAACCTCATGTGGGTACCAGGAGGTTCTTGGTCCCTTGGGTCCCTGTTTGGGTCCCTGGAGACCCCCTCTACCTCCTTCTACCCTCAGGAGGTAGAAGGCCACCTCCCAGCCACTCCAGCATCTTACTGTGTTACTCATTCTTAAATTTCATTTCATAAACAGCAAGAAGTTTGAGGACCAGCAGACCAGCCACAGATGCCTTAGCAACAGCCCCCTGTGGCTGCCCGAGTCTGGCTGTCAGTCAGCAGTGGGAGGATGGCGCCCCGAGGTGCACACCAGCCCTTTCTCAGGCAGCTCCGCGGTCGCCTGCTCTTCCTGTCTTGCGGGCAGTCCCACCTGCTGACCTCGTGTGCACGCGGATACTTCTTTCTGGAGTTTGCTTCAGTAGCCAGAGATGGACGCACTAAAATGACTTCCTCTGCCTTCAAGGAAGTGGTCTTGCAAGGCTGTTAGCCTGGCTGTCCTGGGAATGGCCTCAGAGTGGGTGAGCAGGGAGAGCACTGACCCCAAGATGGACGGACAGACAGAGTGAATTTCCTTCAGGTCTTCCAGCGTCGGGCCTTGTGTGCCTGAAGCTGGGATCACATAGAGGTTCCACACTCGTGGTGGCCTGTCGGGGTTCCAGTGGGCACTGTAGAGAGAAGACAGTCACCTCCCTGATAGTCGGGCCACAGGCAGGGGTCCCGCGGGCAGAGCAGGCTGGGGTGCCTGGCACAGAAGTCTGGGTGACAGCCAGGAGGTGTCGCGCCCTGCTCGGGGTGGCTTCTCTCTGTCCTTCCACCACTTTTCCCTCTTTCCCTTTCACCTTCCGTAGAAATGTCGGGGGTGTCCTGCTGGGAAGTCATGTGATAGAGGCAGGGTGGGGCCAGGGAGCCCCGCGAGCTGCTCTTCAGCAGCGTCTCTTCCCCAAGTCCAGCCCTGATGGGTGATGTGTGGGATCGAGGTCCCTGGGGAAGAGAAACACAGGGGACAGTGCAGGCACCAGCGCTGGCATGGATGGCCCAGGCCACCTGTAGGCCCCCAGGGCCAAGGAGAAGGGGGAGCACCCAAGCACTCCTCCAGCAGAGCTGCGCAGCCAGCCCAAGGTGCCTCTCAGGAGGGGAGCCCAGAACACACGGGGCAGCTCACTGCCCCGCTCTGCCGTCCATTAGTGGAGCCCAGGAGAGGCTAAAGGTGTGGGAGCTGACAGATGCCGCCCTTATGGATGCCCCCAGGACGAGCACAGGATTGTGGTCACAGGCTGCCAGAGGTGCCCCAGCCAACCTACCCCCTGAGTTCTGAACGCCCTTTTGTAGCAGGGTTCCAACCAAGGCACCCCATGCCCAGGGGACAGCTCCAGGGTGGCCACCGACTGGGACAGCTGTGATGTTTCCCTGGGAAGGCTGGCCCCTCCCCAGGCAGCTGGGAGGAGTGGTACAAGGACAGGGCTGGGGGTGTGCTCCCATGACACTGTCACTCAGGATGCAGGACTCGGAGGTAGCTGCGTGTGTCTGGGGTGTCAGAAGGTCCAAACCATAGCATGGAGCTTTCAGAACACGAGAACTGGGGGGAGCCAGCTCAAGAGCCTGCACCTGGGCAGAGGAGGCAGGACCTGAGGCTTCCGACCGGAGTCTGTGCCCTTCCTGCTTGAGTGCCTTCCGGAGCAGGGGTCTGCAGTGAGGCACCGTGGCTACAGGTGTTTTGTCTTACTAGTTAGTTTGTTTGGGGGTTTGTTTTTTAATTAACCTGAGTGCTGCAGCCGGCCCATGCAGACTTAATGTGCCCCGAGTCACCTGGACACCTTACTGGACTTCCAGGGCCCGGGTGCCTGGGACTCTGCGTTCCTGGAGGACTCCCAGGCCATGCCTCTGCGCTGGGCCCTTGGCTGCAAGGTTCGCAGCTTCCTGCGTCACTTCCAGCGGTTTTCTGGACTAGGTTAGAATAGCTGTGACTAATTTCTTTTATGGTCCCAGTTCAGGCAACGGCATAAAATAGGTATCTTAAGGTAGGAATATATTTTCTAAAGCAAGACCGTTTGTCTCCGTCTCCGTCAGCACCCTGCCCCTCGGTGAATTAACCTTCCAGGCTGCACATGCTTACATGAGGCCACTTGTTTGGGGAGAGCCCTGGTTCCTCTCCCTGGCCCCTAAATCGCCAGAGTGCTTTTGAAAATGCATATTCCCCAAGCTTATCCCCAGACCTCCTGAATCAAAATCAGAAGCCTGATCTTGAAGCCTCTATTTTTAAAAAGCTCCACGGGAAATTCTGGTAATTGGCCAGATTTAGGAACTTCTAATGGGCTGCACATTTAAAACCCTGTGCTGTGAAAACCCTCCACTGAAACAGTTTAGAACTTAATTGGCTCTGAACTAAAACAATTGAAGAAAAGTTAAAAAAAAAAAAAAAAGACCAACCAACCCCTCTAGATCTAACAGACTGATTCAGGAGCTGCAGGTATGATTGGCTGAGCTTTAGAGAAAAGCACTTAATTATGTTTTTGAGTCTACAATTGGTGTGACCAGATAATAATTCATTTTGATGTTGAGCAACTGATTGAAATCATTAAGTGTACAATGGAATCATTTTTCATCACAGCCCACACGCACTGTGAAGTCGCTGAGGTTATTTTTCCTCTGCTTAGTCATTTCAAGGTTAAGAGTAAAGTTATCTGGTCCCGGAGTCTGTGTCTCCTCCATGGTCGCGTCTGGGCACTTTGATTTGTGTTGATCATAAAGTAGCGCTGCACCGTAGCTTCATCCTCTGGCACCAGACGCATGACTCTGGTGGTTGAGCACATGTGGCTAGTCTGTGGACAGGTTGGCTGCAGGCGTCTGTAGCCCCCTCCTGCCCTGGCCACTCTTCTGGGGCTGACTGGTCTCTTTCTTCATGGCTATGGTAGGGTTGTGTCTTGGGGGCTGCTTTCTGTGCGGCCATCTGAGCTTCAGGGTCCTTCGCGTGGCTCCGTCCAGCAGCAGCAAGATGTGCACCACCCTTATTCCTCGCTGCCCTTTGCCGTATGGTGCTTCCATTAGCCAATGCAGGACGACAGTGGCTCTCGGTGGTCAGGTACACTGGGTGCCAGCAAGAGGCCCTGTAGACTTACCTCGTGCTGCCTTCTGTGGTCTGCAGTCCGCCGTGGTGTTCACCTGACTTGTTTATTCCTAGGGAATGTCACTAGTGCGTCTGGGTCTCAGATGGCAAGCGGCGTCAGCCTGGTCTCCTTCAACAGCCGACCCGACGGCATGCACCAGCGCTCCTACTCAGTCTCCAGTGCCGACCAGTGGAGTGAGGCTACGGTCATTGCAAACTCGGCCATCAGCAGTGGTAAGAGGGGGCCCAGCCCCACAGACCGCGGCCACCTCCTGGTCCTCCATGTGAACCAGGGGCTGGGCAAGATGCCTGAGTTGAATGTGCTCCACATGGAGCACAAAACCCTTGGGTCCCTCTGACAGCAGTACCGGTCTCGCCTGTCACCTGTGGAGCGTTTGTTCTTGATAGTCTCTCATCTGCATCATCTCCTCTGTCCCCTCTGCTCAGGGAGTAGATGTTTATCCCCATTGGACAGATTTGGAAACTGGGGCTGCAGACAGGACAAGTGGCTTGCCCAATGTCACGAGACAGGGAGATGCTGGGTGAGACTCAACATCAGCTGTCACGTCCCTGATCACACTGCCCGACGCCGCATGGCCTGCGTCCGCCTCAGCGCACGTCGTACATTGTTAGGGTGAATGTAGTCTGTTGTCAGTTTTCTAGGGTTCCTGGTGCCCCTCTAGATTCTGGAGCGTCCCTCTGTAATTCCTCACTTCTTCTGCATTGTTTTAATTTTTGACAAGTGTGGCCTGCTTCCTAGGGGACAGATGTGCAAAGGAAACTCTTTTGATGCAGTTGAAGCATGAATCATCACATGGAGGGCACCCTTGCTGGCCACAGCAGGCTCCGCCCGTGGCATTTTGTCTGTGGCCTGTTCACTGGTATTTAAGGGAATTCCCACTGTTGTACACAATCTATCAGACAGGCTTTGAGGATAATTTTAGCATAATTTGTTCTAATTAAAAGATGCAGCATCAGGTCTTCCCTGAGGACCCACCAGCTGCTGCGGCAGGACCCTGCTCTGGGTAAACATCATCCTTACTTCTCGTTACTCCACACTCCCTTGGCGGAGATGGCCACACAGAGGCCTTAAAGGAAAGCCTCTCCATGCAAGGAGGCAGTCAAGGTGATTCCAGCGCTGCCGCAGCAGCACAGGCCTGCGAAAGCTTGCTCCTGGGGGCACAGAGATAGCACGCACCCATGTCCAGTCCACGGCTCCCTCCCGACTCCAAAAAAGACGCTTTGGGAGATAGTGAGCATCGGACACCAGCCCTTGCAGGGACCCTTGGATGCTCTGCCCTTCACCTGAGCCCTGATGATACCTAGAGACCCCCAGTGGAATGAATTAGGGTCATTATAGATGAGCCCCTGCCTTCTCTCCCCTCCCTGACCAGACCCATGTGCCTCAGCCTCCAGCAGATACCCCTCCTCTGTCCTCTCACTGTCCCTCACTGTCCACCACACTCTCCGTCCTTGGGCATGAGCTGCTGCGCGTGGCATGTGGACTCTAATACCGACCACTGTTTTCACCCTGGTGACCTTTTTCAGGAGCTAGTTCACACACTGAAGCGTTTTATTTTCAAGTACTTCAAAATACCTCGCGCATTCCCATCGCTGAGGCCCCGTGGTGGCGTGCTCACACGGAGCCCAGCTGAGCCTCCCCGAGTCCGATGTTCGCGTGGTGTCACCGAGGCCCCGCCTTGTCATGCAGCAGCTCAGACCGAAAAGCAGCTCCTTTGCCAGAGAGTCAGTGAGGCACCAGTCCGAGCAGAGAGCGGCAGTTCCGAGGTTCTATTCGCTGTGCACATGGGAGTGGTATGGGAGCTCCTGAAGGACAGCGGCCCCCACACGCCTTTGCCTCTCTGCACGTAGAACATTTTGACACAGTATCTGAAGTGCCTAAAGTACAAATTAGAACTGACTCACTAGATAGCCTTCCCTCCTGCCAACAGCCACACACGCGGGCATTTCCACAAGGACAGATCCTGAGACGTCATCATTTCTAGTCCTTGGTTTGGCTGGAAGTCACTTTCCATGGAGGTTTGTTACACGGAGCTGTACACGCGTGTTTACACACTGCCTGTCACACTACACACGGCTGCAGTCACCTGCATTTGAAGGCTGTTCTTTAAACTGCAAAGTAACTTGTATGTGAGCACGCTGGGTGTCTGGCAGAGACCTGTGTGCTCCCTGGCCATACAGCACTCGAGCCTGTGCCCAGGAAATCGGACACCCAGGCCTGTTTCCTGGGTGTAGGCCTGCCTAGGGAGGTGGAGGCCAGCCAGGGCTGACCCTGTGTGGGAGTTGAGGGCTGACGAGTTCATCAGGGAGAACAGCAGGGCCAGGTGGATATTGTACAGAGTGGCAGGAAGTTGTTATAAGCACTGGGGCATTTTGGACAAAGACACAGGGGACGAAAAGGGAAATGGAACAGCCCAGGAGCCACTCGGAAGTGAAAGGTATGAGTTGTGTGCTGCAAAATGAGGAGAGAAGGGGAAGAGCAGAGTGTTGAGAGGCCAGAGTGGCTGTGGATCCGGGTCTTTAAACATCAAAGACCAGGAAGACGGCAGAGTGGTGCAGAGTATGGTTCCTGCGGTTCCCGGGGCCGACCCGACACCTGTGTTTTCTGCCATGATGGTATGTCAGAGCTGATGTGTTTTTGAGAAGGAGACGATAATAAGAGCTGATATTCATTTCAGGCTCCATGTGGATTATCTCCCTTATTCTCAAGGAGTAGATCCTGTTCTTAGCTCCAGTTTCTCTGGGGGGGCTGGTCCCGAAGTCAGATGGCTTGTTCAGGTCTCTTTCTGCCTAGGACCAAGATGATTGCTCAAGCCTGATCGCAGGCCTTGGTCTTCATTCTCCATCGGCTACCCCTTGGACCTACTTGGAAATGCAAACAATCCGTCCCCATTCCAGACCCATGGAGTCCAGAACCCGGGCCACAGGACCCAGTGACCTGTGTGGTTGCAGGCCCTGCCAGGGACAGTGTTGCATGCTGAAGTCTAGATCCTTGTCTCAAAGTGTGGTCCCTGCACACAGTGGCATCTGACAGCCCCTGGTGTCAGTAGCTAGCCATGCAGAAGTCCAGGCTACCCTCACACCCCTGAACACACCCCTATCTTCCAGGAGGGCACTGTCCTGGCCGCCCTCCGGCTGGCACCATTTCCGCCTTTACCATGTTGATTATCAGTGGCCAAAGCCCAGCTGCCTTCCGTGAGCACCAGGGTGCAGAATCTGACTGGGGGCACTTCAGTGAGGTGTTTATAGGTCAGTTCCAAGACCTTTGGCATAAGCATTCCCAGGGAACTTGGAAGTTAATCACAAAGGAAACAAACACAAATAAGGGCTTTCTGCCATTCTTTATGAAGTTGCAGTTAATGCTGGACACACTCCCGCGCTCCTGTTTGAAGGTATTTTACCCCCCACCAGGCCCTCACCATCTCTGGTTTGGATTTCGGAGTCCTTAGACACTGGCAGGGCTGGCCCAAGGAGGTGGGGCTGAGCAGCCTTGGAGCACACCTACCCGTGCGCTGAGCATGCCGCCGCGGTCACCAGCATTACGGTAAAACGCCATAACAACAACAGCCTCAGGATTCATCTCTTCTCTGCCCCCACCCCCGCCCCACACGCACACATCCGAAATTAAGACTTTGGCTCCAGAGAACTTTTCAATCTTCCCCTTTGACACCCAGTTCCCCCGGGGCCTCTGCGCTCAGGCAGCTGTGAGCAACTCCTAATTAGATAGATGGCTTTGTCGTGGGCCAAACTAGGAAACAGGGGGTGCTGGCTAAATTAAGAGGAGAAGCAGAGAAGAATCCATTCTGTGAAATGGAATGCCCCACTGCTTTATGACTATTACTGTTGTAAGCCTTTACATTTAAGTACCTGAGGTTTAAAATTAAACGTCTAATATAATTTGGCGTTGCTAACATGAGCCCCGCATCTGCCCTTAGAGAAAACCCAGACAGCTCTGTTCAGGGTTTCAAATTGCTGGCTGGCGAGCCGCTTGGAGGATTGGATCCCTCTTCCAACTAAGTACCACATGCTGGTTGGCGTAATTTTTTAAATGCAGAACGTATTCATCTTGAGCTTCTGCATTGAAAAAGGCTGTTCCAGTAGTACATGAAAAATTAATTTTTTTACATTTTTTCTCACTCTCCTAAGTGTTTGACAGAAGTAATTTTTGCAGCAAGAGAGAATAAAAACTGGTGGCTGTAAATTCCTGTCCTGGAACCTCTTGTGTAGATTCTTTATGGACCCAGAATTGATCTACATGTCAGATCCTGTTGTGGTTTAAACTGTTTATCACCGTAATGGCAGTAGTGAGCCCGTGAACACCAACTTATAACCCTGGGTGAAAGAAATTGGTGTTTGCAGTCAATGAAGGGGCAGCTTAGCTTTATTGATAGATTCAGAACAATTATCTCTGCGACAACTATTGGCTGAGGGTTTTCTTGAATCTTACTGGAAGCCTGTAATTTCCTTTTTTATTAATCATTTTCTCTGCAGGTAATTTTCTCTGGAAGTGTCAGCAGGAGTTAGCACTGCAGTGGGGCGCAGGGTGCCCTGGGGGGTCATTTGTAGCATACCTGGTAGTCATAGCTCACTTCAAGGCGAGAGGTGTCTTCAGATGTGTCACACCTGTGCTGAGGGACAGAGCGGACCCTGTGCCCCCGTGCATTTGTCAGCCTTCCTTCCCAAGTGCCTAGGCGCTGTCCCCGTCACTGTGTCCTGCGGGTGCCAGCCTTGGCCGGGGGCCTCAGCCATTGTGTGTCTGTGGCAGCCGCGCGCCCCACCTCCTGACTGTGGGTCGTGCTGATGGCTCCGCCCCGTCCCCGATTGCTTCAGTCCAACAGTTTATCTTCCCCGCTGTGGCTGGCGTCACTGCTAAAGCTGCATTTATTCACGTGGCTCTCTAGTGCTGCTCCTCGGCCTCCCCCCGGCGGCCTTCTCCAGGCCACCTGCAGCCTGGTCAGCACCGAGCACCTTCTTTCCCTTCTCTGCACAGAAGTTGTGCCCGGTGTGTGCCTGCGTGTGAGCTGGTGTGTACCTATGTCTGTCCCTGCTTTCTTCTAACCACTCGATCGTGTCTTCCCCCAGACTCTATGGTGACTAGACAGTGGATCCTGAATTGGAAGCATTTCAATTTTGCTGACTTTTAAATATTTTTTCCCTGTTATGCTTGGGTATTGCTCTCCCTTTCTTCTCTTCCCATAGAGCCAACCCGATAA